CCCCAAACCCTACCAATTCCTCATCCAACACCCCACAGATCCTCCCAAATCATCCCAAGCCACCCCTTAAATCCTTTCCAACACCCCGAAAGAGGGATCACCCGGCACCTTGGGACAGTAACACAGTGGGCTGTACTGGGAGGGCACGGCGGGGAGCTCAGGTGTCCCATGACAACGTGGCCCAGCTCCAGGAGAGATCTGGGGAGCAGTGAGGAGGTACTGGTCTGTCCTGGTCTGTACCCCCAATCCCCAAAGCCCCTCCCCAGCTCCCCCAGGACCCTTCTGGACCTCAAAGCCCCCCAGGATTCCCAGGCCCCTGACTTGGTCCTGCTGCCCCTTGAGCATCTGCAACTGCTGCAGAACCAGGCATTTCATCAGCAAATGTGCAGGTGACACCAAGCTGGGGGGTGTGTTGATGTGCTGGAAGGCAGGAGGGCTCTGCAGAGGGACCTGGCCAAGCTGGATCCATGGGCTGATTGCAAGGGGCTGAGGTTCAAGCAGGCCAAGGGCCGGGTCCTGCCCTTTGGCCACAAGAAGCCCTGTCAGCCCCCCGGGCTGGGGCCACAGTGGCTGGAGAGCAGGCAGGCAGAAAGGGAGCTGGGAGTGTGGATGGACAGGAAGCTGAAGAGGAGGCAGAGTGTGGCCAGGTGGCCAAGAGGGCCAATGTCTGATGGCCTGGCTGAGGAAGAGTGTGGCAGCAGGAGCAGGGAAGTGATTGTTCGGCTGGACTGAGCGCTGGTGAGGCCACCCCTGGAGTGCTGTGTCCAGCTCTGGGCCCTTGAGTTGAGGAAGGCCATGGAGGGGCTGGAGCAGGTGCGGAGAAGAGCAGCGAGGCTGGGGAAGGGAGTGGAGCACAAGTGGTGTGAGGAGAGGCTGAGGGAGCTGGGCTTGTTGAGGCTGGAGAAGAGGAGGCTCAGGGGAGACCTCCTGACTCTCTGCAAGTCCCTGCCAGGAGGTTGTAGCCAGGTGGGGGTGGGGCTCTTGTGCCAGGAAGCAGCAGTAGGACAAGAGGGCTGGGTCTTGAGCTGTGCCAGGGGAGGTTTAGGTTGGATATTAGGAAGCAATTTTTTCCCAAGAGAGTAATCAGGCCTTGGAATGGGCTGGGCAGGGAGGGGGTGGAGTCAGCGTCCCTGGAGGTGTTGAAGGTGAGAGTGGATGTGGCATCAGTGCCATGGTCTGGGAAGCACGGCGGGGTTGGATCAAGGGTTGGACTTGATGATTTGAGAGGTCTTTTCCAACATGGCTGATTGTGTGATTCTCTGATTCCCATTCCTGTGGCAGCACATGCTTGAGGCTCTATCCCCAGGGTGATAGAGATGTCTGTCCATATCTATCTCCAAGGTTAGTGTGTAAATGTGTGGTGTTAGAAAAGCAGGCTAAGTTCTGGGATGGTTCTAGAAAGAGAAACAAGCCCAGAGCCGAGTGCAAGCAGGCAGCCCTCAGCTTGCACATGATGTCCCCTCCCTGCAGGTTCCTGTCCTTGAGCCCAGGCCCTGAGGTGAGCCTGAGAATAAGTGCAAGGCAGAGGTGGTGCTGAGGAAGGAGAGCCCCGTGGTGGGGAACAGACCAAGGTGCCCATCCCTGAGAAGGTGCTGTCTCCATCCCCTGTGTGCCAGGTGAGCTGGGGCTTTGCTGCAGAGCTGCGGGCGCTGATTTGAGCGGCTCCAAGTGCTGAGATGGTGGGCACCCAGGAACACAAACTCTGCCTGGCCACGGAGCCTGCAAGGAGGAGCAGAGACAGCCCTGGCAGTGTGGGGGGCCAGGTTGTCCGTGTGCCTTCCCCTGCAGGCCCTGGCTGTCCCTGCTGGGCCCCTGTCCATCCCCATCAGGTCTCTGCCCGTCCTCCTCGGGCTGAGCTCCCCCCAAGAACTGCCGTGGAGCTGAAGCTGCTGCCATCCCCCCCCTGCAGCCGCTGCCCCAGCCAAGGGAGCAGCAAAGGCAGGGCCAGGAGCAGAGGCAGCAGCAGGGGAGCACTGGGGGGACCGGGAAGCTCTTGTGTGGGGCAGGAAAGAGGCGCTGGGCACGAGGCCGGGGCTGTTTTGAGCAGGCCCAGCTCTCACATCCCCCCAACCAATGCCAGCTGCCCGGGGGGCACTGGAGGGACCCCTAGCCCGTGTGCCCAACACTCAGCTGGCAGAGAAAGAGCCAAGGGACAGGGGCAGGGCCACGGGTGAGGGACAGGAAGGGCCATTGCAGGGCCACGGTGAGGGCACAGCCTGTGGCAGCAGAGCTGCCCAGGGCCGGGGGCAGTCGGGGGTGTTGGTACCAGCCAGTGCTGGGGCGAGCAGAGCACGAGGCCTCTTGCAGAGCCCTGGAGCAGCCTCCCACTTGCCAGTCCCATCCTGGTGGGGTGACACTGTCCCATCCCAGCAGGACACTCCCCCTGAAATCTTCAGGGGGGCCCTTTGTGTATATTGCTGGTTACTGATTGATGTTGGGGACCTGAGGGAGCCTCTGCAATCCCATCCATGGGGCACAATCTCCTCTCCAGAGCTTGACTTCCTGCAGCCTTTGCAGGGAAATCTGTGCTGGCAGCTCCATCCTGATCCTGAGGACAGTTTGTATCCCCGAGTGCTGATCCAGCCTGGGGACCCAAGGCATCCTCTGCCATTCCATCCATGCAGCAGGAGTCACCCTCCTGGCCTTGACTCCCTGCAGCGGAACAAGCGCCATCTCTCTGTTTGGGATTAGCCAGATGCTGCCCCTGTGCCATCAGAAGTGGTGCTGAAGCCTCTTTCAGCCCAGCCCTGGGTGCAGTTTTCTCATCCCCTCACCGAGTGCCTGCTCCCCCAGCTGGCACTGACCAACCAGGGCGTTTGGCACACTTGGTTTGGTGTTTTGGAGAAACAGCCTCGGACTGGCAGGGAGCCAGAGGACCTCGAGGAACAGCCCTGGCGAAGTGCCTGCACTGGGAGGGGGCCAGGGGATCGCTGCTCCACGGAACCGGCTGGAGCTCTGGGTGAGCCTGAGCTGATGGGCCTGTGACCTGTGGATGAGTCCAGGATGGAGCAGAGACCCACCTGCAGCCCGGGAGGAGCCCAGGCCGGAGCAGCGGATGCCCAAAGGAGGCCGAGAGCCCATGGGAAGCCCCTGCAGAGCTGAGGGAGCAAAGCCCTGGTTTCCAGGGCTGCCCCCCCACCCCAGTTTGTTTTTGGGACAGTTTTTTTGGTCTAATCTTCATATTTTGGAGTATTTTTTAGCCGAATCTCAACTTTTTGCAGTTTGAGGGGAGAGGGGTCTTCCTGCTATTTTTGAGGGGGTTTTTGCCTGAATCTCGGTGGTTTGGGTTTTTCTGGGCTGAATCTTGGTGGTTTGGAGTTTTCTATGGTCACAAGATGCCCGGTGAGTTCTAGAGATGGACTTGGGCAGGAGGAACCCCCAAGCCAACACACTCAGCCCTTGTTTTCACCCCATCAGGATTTGTCCTTCCCAAAGCTTGGGCGGATGGAGGAGGAGGCTGCGAGGAAGAGGAAGATGCCGCGGGCCCCCCAGGCAGGTGAGGAGGAAGTCAGTGGCCCTTTGGGCCGGTGTTGTGCTGGCTTTGGCAGCCGAGCATGGCCCCCGGCTGCAGGACAGCCCCGCTGCCGCCGCCGTCCTGCCGGGGCCGGAGCTGGGGGGATGTCCTTGGCCTTCCCTCTGGGCCGGAGGCAAATCCCCTCCCTGTCCTTCTTGCTTCCTGCCCCAGGCCCCGAGCTGAGGAGGGAGAGCCCGGAGGACAAATCCCCCCGGCAGACCCTGTTGGGAAAGGCCATTTTGAAGGGCTCCACGGCGCAGGAAGGCAGCGGGGAGGAAAAGGCCCGGAGATCCCCCTGCAGGAGGGGCTCCAAAGCCAGCCCAGGGTGCTCTGAGGAGGAAAGACCCAGCCTGTGCCGGGAAGGCAGCCGGAGCTTGAGGCGGAGCTCTGAGCTGGTGGTCCCTAAGCAGCCTCTCAGCAGGGAGAAGCCCTTCAGGTGCTTGGAATGTGGGAAGAGCTTCAGACTGATCTCCGACCTGCTCCGACACCAGCATATCCACACTGGGGAACGTCCCTACATGTGTGGGGAATGTGGGAAGAGCTTCAGGAGCAACTCCAACCTGATCCGGCACCAGCGCATCCACACTGGTGAACGGCCCTATTCATGTGGCGAATGTGGGAAGAGCTTCAGCCAGAGCTCCCACCTGATCCAACACCAGCAAATCCACACTGGGAAACGACCCGGGAAAGGGGTGGGAGAGGAGGGCTATAGAGAGGGGGGAGAGCAGGAGCGGTGTTGCCGTGGCGGTCCCTCCATGTCCCCATGCCTTGATCCCTGGAGAACACGGGAGGCTGGAGAGAGGGGGGAGCTGGGACAGCCCCGAGAGCCTGGAGAGTGGGGAGTTCCGGCCCCCTGTGCCGAGCCAGCAGTCGAGGCCGTACTGTTGGTGCCAAAATGCTCCTGGTCAGGCTGAATCCAGAGCCTGCCCATGTGTCGGGGGGCCTGATCCGCTCCCTGCTCTCGTTGCCCTGGGGCAGCCTCTGGTGTCCCCCCGCCTGTGGGGCTGTTTGGTTGCCTTGGGCACAGCTGGCCCTTGTGCAGGGCTGTGCCCTTGAGGGCTGTTGGGGGTGGGAGGGAGGTGTTTTTTGGGGGTGCTGGGCTGGGTTGGTGGCAGAGCCCCGGCGGTGGGCGGGGGGATGCGGGTCCACCCCCCGCGGTGGGGGTTGGTGTTGCTGGGTCAGGCCCCGCCGGCTCCATTGTCAGCCCGGTGCCGGCGGGGGGGACACAGTGGTTTTGGGGCCCCCCCGGGAGTGCCGGGGGTGGGTGTGGAGCCCGGGAGCTGCAGAGTGTGGAGGGCGGAGCAAGGCGATGTCGGAGCTGGGGGACCCCCAGCAGCCTGGAGGGGGGAGCACAGAGAGGGAGGAGCCCCGGGACCCCCGGGAGCCTGAAACAGGAGATGTGGAGAAGAGTAAACCTGGACAGTGGGGACCCCTGGGATCCCCGGGACAACAGAGTGTAGAACCTGTAGAGGGGGAATGTCTGGGAGCACAGCACCCCAAAGGCAAAAGTCAGAGGAGAAGGGACCCTTGGGACCCCCAAGACTCCCAGCATCCCTAAGTGGGACCCCCAGCATCCCAGACAGAGGAAACCCTCCGAACCCCAGAGGGGAGAGACCAGAGAGGAGGAACTTATGGGAAAGATTTTTTGAGCTGAATCTTCATATTTTGGAGAGTTTTTTCCTGAATCTCAACTTTTTGGATTTTGGGGGGTAGTTCATCTTGCTATTCTGAGGGGGTTTTTGCTTGAATCTCAGAGGTTTGGGATTTTCTGGGCTGAACTTGGTGTTTTGGAGGTTTTTGTGGTCACAGGATGCCCAGTGAGTTCTAGAGATGGACTTGGGCAGGAGGAACCCCCAAGCCAACACGCTCAGCCCTTGTTTTCCCCTCCCATCAGGATTTCTCCTTCCCAAAACTTGGGCGGATGGAGGAGGAGGCTGCGAGGAAGAGGAAGATGCCGCGGGCCCTCCAGGCAGGTGAGGAGGAAGTCAGTGGCCCTTTGGTCCGGTGTTGTGCTGGCTCTGGCAGCCGAGCATGGTCCCTGGCTGCAGGACAGCCCCGCTGCCGCCGCCGTCCTGCCGGGGCCAGAGCTGGGAGGATGTCCTTGGCCTTCCCTGTGGGCCAGAGGCAAATCCCCTCCCTGTCCTTCTTGCTTCCTGCCCCAGGCCCCGAGCTGAAAACAGAGAGCCCGGAGGACAAATCCCCCCGGCGGACCCTGGTGGGAGAGGCCGTTTTGAAGGGCTCCACGGTGCAGGAAGGCAGCGGGGAGGAAAAGGGCTGGAGATCTCCCCGCAGGAGGGGCTCCAAAGCCAGCCCAGGGTGCTCTGAGGAGGAAAGACCCAGCCTGTGCCCGGAAGGCGGCCAGAGCTTGAGACGGACCTCCAACCTGGCGGTCCCTGAGCAGCCTCCCAGCAGGGAGAAACCCTTCGAGTGCTTGGAATGTGGGAAGAGCTTCAGGAAGAGCTTCAACCTCCTCACCCACCAGCGCATCCACACTGGGGGACGACCCTACAAGTGCTTGGAATGTGGTAAGAGGTTTAAGACCAGTGCACATCTCGTCATGCATGAGCAGACGCACAAGGATGAGAGGCCCTTCCGCTGCACCGACTGCCGGAATGGCTTCAAGCAGAACTCCACCCTCGTCAGGCACTGGCGCATCCACACTGGGGAGAGGCCCTACAAGTGTGGGGAGTGTGGGAAGGGCTTCAGGAAGAGCTCTGACCTGATCCAACACCAGCACATCCACACTGGGGAACGGCCCTACTCGTGTGGGGAATGTGGGAAGAGCTTCAGTGACAGCTCCACCCTGATCCAACATCAACGCATCCACACTGGGGAACGTCCCTACACGTGTGGGGAATGTGGGAAGAGCTTCAGTGACAGCTCTCCCCTCCGTACCCACCAGTACATAAACCCTGGGGAACGGCCCTATACATGCGGGCAATGTGGGAAGAGCTTCACGAAGAGCTCCCACCTCCTCATCCACCAGCGCATCCACACTGGGGAACGGCCCTACAAGTGCTTGGAATGTGGGAAGAGGTTTCAGACCAGCTCACATCTCCTCCTGCACCAGCGGACGCACACAGATCAGAGGCCCTTCCGCTGCACCGACTGCGGGAAGGGCTTCAACCGGAACTCCACCCTCGTCAGGCGCCGGCGCATCCACACTGGGGAGAGGCTCTACAAGTGTGGGGAGTGTGGGAAGAACTTCCTCAGGAGCTCTAACTTGACCTCACACCAACAGACCCACAAGTAAGGGAAAGCCCTACGTGTGCCCCAACTGTGGAAGAACCTCGGCTACTGCTTCCACCCCGAATGAAGCCCCTGATGATGAGGCAACCCCTGGAGTCCAGTGACTGTCAGTCCATCCCTTTCGACCACAAAGGGCCAATCCCCTTTCCCGGGGCAGCTTCTTCCAACAGAACCTTTCTTGGGGGGTATGTGGAGATTCCTGCCTTGGGTGGGAACCCCCCCAAGGTCACTCCTGGAGGTTGAGAGCAGAGATCTCCCCACGAGCGTTGGTCTGGGGGAGTTCCATCCATCTCTAATTAAGAATTATTGCTTTTGTGTCAGCTTTAGTAGAATTGCTTCAACAACTGTTTTAGTGTAGAGCACTGTCCTATCTTATCCTGTACTCCTGGTAGTTTTAATGTTTCTATTGTGCAGTAAATAATTCTGATGAAGATCTTTTGTCTGATCATTTGTATCCCTAAATAACTCATTTCTGTCAATAGATCTGCTTTGGCATCATTAAAACCTCGGGGACAAAGTGTTTCAGTCACAGCTCTGTAATTTCTCTAAACTGCAACTGTTGTCATAATCCAAGGCTGAGATTGGGTCCAGCAGCCCCCAGCACCCCAAAAAAGGGGTTAGGTGGGGTCCTGGGTGGGCTTTGCATGTGTTTGGGGGTCCTTGGGGAGCTCTAAGGAGGTTTTGGAGGGTTCCCAGCACATTTTGGGGTGAGCTGGGTGCTTTATTGAGGGGCAGGTGCCCTCCCAAAGCCCCCCCAGAATAGGTTGACACAGGGGGGTTTCCATTCCCGATCCATCCCGGGGCCCGTTCTGCCCCCCCAAACTCGGATCCACCCCCCTCCCCTACTGCCCCCCAAACTCGGGACTGGGGAGAAGTGGGAAGCTTTCTTGGGATCACTGGGAGCAGCCGGGTAGTGTCAGAATAAAACCAGGGGAAGGGGGGGACACACGACCCCCCCAAAATTCTCGCGGGGATGGGGGGGCTCCAGGCTGGGCCTGAGGACCTGGAGAGGAGCTGCGATCGCTGCCAGCTCAGGAGCTCTGTGGGGAGAGAAAAGGGGGTGACACCGTGGTGGGGGGTTCCTGGCGGGGCACAGACGCTCTGGGGGGGACACACGACCCCCTGGCACCCCCCTCACCTTCTGGCACAGGTAGAAGCCGAGCCTCAGCGCCAGGGAGACGAAGCCCCCGGCCCCTCCTTCGGAGCAATTCCTCAGGCTGATGAAGCCCAGCAGGGCCGGGGCCGCCGGCAATGTCCGATCCTGGTAGGAAGCGGGGAGGGCCCGGCGGTGTCTAATAGAAATAAATCAAGGCAGATCTCTCTCTTTCTTTTACCCCCTGGGCAGTGACCATCAAGAGGCGTCCCTGCTTCACAGGAGAAGCTCCACACACTTCAACAAAGTCTGTGGAAGAATCTGCTCTATGAAAGTTGGCCCTGGGCTTTTATGCTTATCCAGTGATGGATCTCCAGTCACATATTCCCAGGCCAGTGAGCAGCTGATCTGTCAAACTCTGCTTCCAAAAGCAGGATGTGTGTTGGAAGGTTGGGGAACCAGGCTGGTTTTGGCACAATTCAGCACTAAACCAACCCCTTGGCACGAGCAGTAACTCACCACAGAGAGCTTGCAGTGCTTGCTTTCTCTGATCAGATTCTTTTCCAGGTAGAACATTCTGCTACAAGGGGTCTGTTACCACCCGCCCCAGAAAGGGAGAGTAACCCAGGTTCTTAAAAAATCCCTTGGGGTGGATTAGAGTGAAACGACACTGAATAATGAGTGTTTGAAAATATATATATATGTAGGGTTTATTTTAGAACAATTTTGTTTCAAAGGTAAACAGGTATGTTGCCATTTTGGGTGTTATCATCTCTATCTCTCATCTACAGCAATATGGCATAAAGAGAACCTTTAGGGAAAATGCATAAGGGAGAGAAAGGAAAGACAGGATAAGGGTGAGGGAGAGTAAGGGAAAGAAAAGCTGAGAGTGGAAAGATGTCTATAGTCACTGCCCACGGGGTCCAGCGATGGAACTTGGTAGTTGCAGCTTCCGTCTCTGTCAGTTGAAGTGGTGGCCTTGATCCGTTGGGGGTGGGGGAGGGAAGCCCCCACACTGCAAGAAGTTATGAGTTATTATATCCATGGATGGTGTCCTGGGCCATGCCACGAACCCCCAACATCTCCTGGGCCTGCGCAGAGTTCCCGTGAGGGGCCTGGGAAAAGGGTTTTTCCTGCCTTTCAAGGTTGGCAGAGGGGGGGATGGGCTTTGATGGGCCATCAGAGGTATAATGCAAAAGTCCTGCAGAAGCCTGCAAAAGTCCCTTGGCAATCCTAGAATGCATAAATCATGAACTGTTTCAGTCTTTGACACCACCCCGTGATTTGTGCATTCAATAATTTCTTTTGTCGTTCACTGTGAATCTTCTTTGTGGGTGGTGCCTTTCCTGTAGTGGACAGAGAGAAAAGAAGGGGAAGAGATAGTACAAATCTTTTCCCAATGCAATGCAATTCCCCCCAAAAAACCTAAATCTTACAGTAAAATAGTAAACATATGTGACATAATAGGATCTCAATAGCTACCATCAAATTTCCTAACACTAACAAAGTTACAAACATCAGGATTTAATACTGACACAAATCTAATTTTCATTAGCCACTGTCTCTACACCATGAGTAGTAGGGATTCTATAAAAATGTGTCTGTTAGAGGGGCCAATGTGTCTTGAAATTAGACCTGAAATTACACATCAGTTCTTATGCAAATACATTGAATTACTTGGGAGATGGTACAAGGTTTTCTTATATTCTCTTTAGGTCACACTTTCTTTTCTTTTGTCTAGATTTAGTTTCATTTCTTAATATTTTGAGACATTTAGCCAAATATAAAATTTGATGCCTTCTGAGGCAGAGGGTTAATGCATCTAATACATATTTGTATGATTCCAAATATGCATAAATTGTTGTACCAACTCCCAGGCTAAATTTGGTGGAGTTTCTTGGTTCTCAATTGATTGAGACAGAATTACACATATCTAAAAGCTTCTCCCAAGCCAACTTGTTTTTCAATGAAAAGACAAAATTAACTTGGCAAAAAATTAAACTAGCAATACATAAAAGTGCTTGTCTTACACAATCTTACCAATGAGTTACTCATGATAAAAACACAAATAACTCAATTATTAATAAGCTGATAATACAAGCAATTTTGGGAGTAGAGGAGACACAAACACAATGTTTGTGGTAAACTTTTACATATTGCAAAACTACTGAGACAATAATACACACAGACGTGCACATCACAAAGTTATTAAGATAAAAACACAAATACATGCAAACAATCAGTGCTGCAAAGAAAGGAACCCTGGGCTGCTGCAGAACCTCACGGAGGTGGGAAGCTGCTGTGTGGGGGCCCCCACGACGAGTCGCTGAGGCTGCTGAAGGAGAAGGCGAGTGAAGCCAATTTGCAGAAGTGGAAGCTGTGGGCAATGCCACTGAGACCCTTGCCACGGTCAGTTACCATGGCAACCATCGTACATTCCCATCGTGTGCTGGGTTAAAAGTAAACCAGAGGGAGAAATGAACCCCCCCAAGGGATTACAAATCAGACTTACAATTTACTAAGATTACAATAAATACAATGATACAGAGAAAACTGGTTTTAAGCCACAAAAATAGCTGTATAACCCAGCACCCTGGGACAAAAACAGAACAGTGCTGAGCACCACATGGCCTCCCAGGGTAGAAAATAAAAGGAAAGGAAAACCTGTTGGTTCAGATGATGGTGGCAGTTCTGTTGAGGTAGTGATGGCAGTCCTGTCAGGAGTGGCAGTGGCAGTCCTGTTGGAGTTCTGGTCCTCCTCTCGATCCCATGAGTGGTACCAGAAGTCCCCAAAGCCCAAGAGTATATGTGCTCAGGTTCAGGTGGAGATGTCCAGCACCTCCCCCAGGGCAGGGAGTTTCCCAATGGGCGATTTAACTCTGTGAGTCACGGGGTATTTTTGGAGTGTTTGATGGTCTGGGTGTTGCAGCTGCCTGTTATACCAGTTCAAGGCGGCCCATTAGCAGAGATGACCCCTCAGGCTGGGGGTGAAGGTGCTAGTGCTTCCCAGGAGGGGAGTTATCACAGCTGAGTCATGGGTGTGAAGACAAAGGAACACTCCTTGCACAGTTCTTTCACACCCAGCTTGTAGCCTGAGGTGTCAGGTGGGTCCTGGGCAGCTGCTGCAAAGGATCCATTCTTAAGAGTCCCTCAGAAATGACACAGAGGGTGTAGACTACACAGTTTTGGTTGCACCCACCCAGTGATAAACTGATCCCAGCCCCTGCAACTGGGACAGATTGCTAGGGTAGGTTACCATGGCAACCATCATACACTCCCATTCCACGGTCAGTTACCATGGAAACCATCATACATTCCCATTGCTTCGGTCAGTTACCATGGCAACCATTGCACATTCCAATTGCGCCATCAGTTACCGTGGTAACCATCACAAATTCCCATTGCTACGGTCAGTTATCATGGCAAACATCACAAATTCCCATTGCTACTGTTGGTTACCATGGCAAACATCATACTTCCCACTGCTACGGTCAGTTACCATGGCAACCATCATACATTCCCATTGCTACAGTTAGTTTCCATGGCAACCATCATACATTCTTGTTGCTACAGTTGGTTAACATAGCAGCAAACATACTTCCCACTGGTACAGTTAGTTACCACGACAACCCGCATACATTCTCATTGCCACAGTCAGTTACTATGGCAACCATCATGCAGTCATATTCCTGCTGGTGGTTATCATGGCAACCACCATACAGTCCCAACGCTACGATGAGTTACCATGGCAACCATCATACATACTCGTTGCTATGGTCGGTTACTATGGCAACTATCATACTTGCCACTGCTACGGTCACTTACCATGGTAAACAGCATACATTATCATTGCCACCGTCAGTTACCATGGCAACCACCATACACTCCCATTGCTACAGTCGGTTACCAAG